GATTCTTAATTCGAAGAATTATGACAAGTGCTCAAAGCAAATGAAAGTTTTGTTTGTGTATCAAAAAGTTCTTGGGATCATTAACAATGGAGTTACACCACTTTAGGCTGAAGCTACAGATGCTCAAAAGGCTGCATTCAAGGAAGAAAAGAAGAAAGACTACAAGACATTCTTCTTGATTCATTCTTGTGTTGATGGTGACAATTTTGAGAAAGTTGGCGATTGCGAGTCGGCGAAGCAAGCTTGGGAGATCTTGGAGAAAGCTTATGCAGGGGTTGTTAAAGCTAAGGTGGTGAGGTTACAAACTGACAAGAGGTGTTAGAACAAGATTTGGTAATAACAAAGTAGTATTTGTGTGAGAACAATTTTGGTACTCTAACGTTTATTTTTCTGAAGAATTAACAAACAGGTTTTGACTCTGATAGAGGCCATATACAATGACAATCTGGTTTGACCAAAAGTCACTTTTGCGCCAAATAAGCAAGTATGCTTCTGAGATACTCACATTCATAAAGATTCTAAGAAGACAATATGTTATTGCTGCAATGTTCTCTTGGATTCTGGTTCTGAGCGTGACTCTGATGTTTCACTTCTGAAGGCTTTCTAGCTTCTGAAGTTGTTATCTTCTGAAGACTAAGTGCTGAAGACTTTGAAGAGAAAGTTCTGCTGAACGAAGTTTTAAAGACTCTGAAGAATCAAGTTTCTAAAAACTAAGGGTTCTGAAGACTGAGTGCTAAGAGTTATGAAGACAAGGTTCTGGTGAACAAGTTCTAAAGACTCTGAAGACTTAAGACTCTGAAGATCTAGTGATCAACTCTTGTACGTGTGCTTCAATCATCTATATTCATAAGCCTCTAATGTACAAAAGATAAGATCAAAACTTCACGAGGGAAAATAATACATAGTATGTATCAAAATGTTCCATTCCACAACCCTGATTTAGTGGTACAAATGATAACTTTTGTGCACGATTTTCATCCCTGCGTAACGACATTCTTTCAAGTCGATAACTCACTCAAGGATATTCCTGATGTGCCCTCCAACAGATCTCTAACTGGCTATATAAGGACTTGATTACTTGAAGAAAAAACAAGAACAGTGGAGAAGCAATACAACTCAACGCAAGAATAATATTCATACTGTAAAAAAATTTCTTTAAGTATTTTGTGATATTCATAGTGTTTATATCTTCTTGTGTAGAAGCAATTCATTGTAAACATTATTTTTTCAAGCAGTTGTTTGTAATTCCTTAAGGGACCAGTTAAGTCAGAATCCTTAAGAAGAGACAATTAGTCTTTGTTGTTAGTCGCCAGCAGTTTCTAGTGCAAATTGTAATCAGTTGATTATAATGGATTAAGTCCTTGTGTATAAGAAGAAATCACCTTGGCGGGTGGACTGAATTAGCTTGATAGTTTTCAAATGAACCAGGATATATCGTGTGTCTTTCTCTCTTGGTAGTATCTTTGTGATCATTGTTTGAATTTCACAAAAAGCTCTCATTTTTGAAAACCCAATTCAAACCCCTCTTTCTTGTGTTTTCTCACACCTTCAAGAGGCAATTTTGAGTTAACGCGAATGGAAGAGAAGGATACGATCAACGATTGTGTGACGTGTATTACACGTTTGGTGAATCAAATCAAGTCTTACGGAGAACTGTTTTGGAGCAGAATGTTGTATCGAAGAGTTTGTGTTCTTTAATGTCAAGATTCAACAACATTGTAGTGGCTATCGAAGAGTCGAAGAACCTTGCAACGTTGAGAAAAGATGAGCTTCAAAGCTCTCTTGAGGCTCATGAACAAAGTATGGATGAGAGAGGAAGCGATAAAGCTAAAGCGGAGATTGATTTGCAAGCACGGTTTAACGATAAGAGTAGAAGATCGAAAGGAAAATGGACTTCGAAGGGGAAGAAAAATTCTCAGAGTTTGGGTGGAAATTATCCATAAAATTAGAAGGTTTCAATGGTGAAAAGGGTGAGAGTAGCTCCAAAGATAGTGGTTAAGCCAACAACTTCAAGAAGTTTGACAAGAGTAAGTTGAAGTGTTACAATTGTCATAGACTTGGTTATTTCGGAAGAGATTGTCGTGCGATATAAAGGGAGAATCAAAGCGATGAAGCTAACGTTGCGAGGAAAGAGGTAGATGATGAAAATACGCTCTTGATTATGATCACGAAGGAGAATTGTGGCATTAAAAAGGTGCAAGGCAGCAGCAGTAGCAGCTCTAAATTGCGGGACAACAACTGCAACAGTTTGAAATATGCTGCATAAACGTGTTCCGAGCAAAACATAATGATTACGGTTCGAGATGGAGTCCAAGGAAACAATGAATGTTAATTGGATTCTGGTTGTTCAACGCATATGACAGGTAGAAAGGATTTGTTTGTGAAAATCAATTAAGTCACGAAAAGTAGAGTAAAATTTGCGGATGATACCACTCTTACGGTTGAAGTTGTCAGTGATGTTTTGACCGAGAAGAAGAATGATGGATGTTCTATGATCAAGGATGTCTTGTATATTCCTGAAATTAAGTGTAATCTCTTGAGTATTGGCCAATTTCTTGAGAGAGGTTACAAAATTCTCTTGGAAGACAAGATCTTGCGCGTTGTGGATGCAAATGGTGTTTTGATCGTTAAGGCTCATATGGTTGCCAATAGGACTTTCAAAGTGGAGTTGAAAGTGATGGAGCATATGTGTTTATCTACAGAAGCAAGTTGAGAAGAGTGGTTATGGCACTACCATCTTGGACATCTCAATTTTTGTGATCTTGACGTGTTACAAAGGGATGGTATGGTAACTAGGTTGCCAAGAATCAACATTCTAACTGAGATATGTGAAGAGTGTGTGCAAGGGAATATGCAAAATAGTAATTTCAACAAGGATGCGGGTCATAGGACCAAACATCACCTTGAGGTGGTGTATTCTGATGTGTGTGGTCCAATGCAAGTTGATTCATATGGTGGCAATAGGTATTTTGTCATATTTATCGATGATTTTAGTAGGAAGCTATGGATATACCTGATCAAGAGAAAGGATGAGGTATTTGACGTGTTCAACGATTCAAGTTCATGGTTGAGCAACAATGTGGTCACAAGCTCAAGATTCTCAAAATGGATGGTGGAGGTGAGTATACCTCAAATAAGTTTGGAAAGTATTGTATTAAGAGGGGATAGCACGTGAGAGGAAAAATTGTTCTATAATGAACATGGTTTGAAGCATAATAAAGGGTAAAGACTTGTCGAAGGAACTATGGGGTGAAGTCATTTCTACAGCCGCCTATTTGTTTAATAGGTTCCTTACAAAGAAGCTTGATAAGGTGACTCCATAAGAGGTGTGGTCTAGATTTAAACTAAGCTTAAGCCATTTGAAAGTTTTCGATTCGATAGCATTTTGACATGTTCTGAGTCAGCTCTGAAATAAGTTGGACGACCTGGGTGAGATGATGTTACTCGTTGGTTATCATCCTACTAGAGGTTATAAGTTGTTTGATGTTTCAAATAAGAGGACTGTGATTACCAAGATGTTGTAGTCGACGAGCTGCGAAAGTTTGATAGCAGCAGAAAAATTGTTGATGCATGCCCCGTAACGGGTTACGCTAAAAGCTGTAACGGGTTACCACGTGAGTTTTTGGGTTCTGGAGTTGTGGGAACTGGTTTTACAGAAGGCGTATCAGGTTACGAGAATCCTGTAATTGGTTACATGCTGGAAAATCAGAATCTTCATAATCCTGGAGGTGCAGAACAATAACATGTCGGAGCCGAAAATGGGGGAAATAGTAGACGACCAACAAGGCAAAGAGTTTTTCCTCGGAGACTCCAAGAATGTGAAGTATTATGTGATAAAAAAATCAATGATGATGGTGATTTCATTCACTTTGTGCTTATGGCTGAATCCGAACTGGTGAACACGGAAGAGGTGTCATACCCCAAATTTGTCCTACTTGTATATAACTTTCATTTGTACGTCCATCCATTGACAATTATCCAGAAATTCAAAAAAATATGTTACTTCTGCTTGTTGTTCAAGTTCAGGTTGTGCTAAGTTCAGAATGTTTCATGATTGGAAATCATTAAGAATTAGTTCATTTGCAACCAGGGACTGTGGGAATTGCAGTTCATGGGTCAGATCTTTGACCTTGTGGTAGTATCCGGACCATTGGGGTTCATGATGAAAGATTGTGGCTCATTTTAGATCCAAGTGGCAATTAACTCAGCAAGAATTCTAAATGACTTCATTGCTCTTCAATGTCAATTTCAAGATTGAATCACTTTTGATCCAAGTTTTTAATTCATTCTAAGTTTTGTTCTTAATGAGAATTCAAGGATGGAGGAATTTAATATTCAATGTTGTCTCACTTTAATTCCACTTTTCAAGTTCACATGTTAATTTTAAGATGTTACTCCTAATGCTTTCATCATTCTCAGATTTACTTTTAGAAGTTCAAGAGTGGCATTGCCTTGTTGTGACACAAATAAAAAAAAACTCCTGGTTTTACTTGCATCCATGGACAAGCACAATTTTGCTGAAGAACTTCAAGTTTGAATCATGAGTCAAGTTGCATAAAAAAATCAGGCCCGAATGAATAAAGGGGGGTAATAGTGCATTTCAAGCCCAATTAATGGAAGATTATGTTCATTACAAGAAACATGAAAATTGTTCTCCAAAGTTTCTACAAATATAGGAATTCATGAGAAACTCTAAAATACATAGTCCATATCCCAAAAAAAGGCCAAAAGCCCATTGTTTCTATATCACTAGAGTCAATTATGCAAAATCTATTTTTGTTCCAAATTGTCCATTTATTGTTTAAAATGGTCAGCCATATAGAGGAGTTTACTATTCCATCTGTGACCTGTTAAGAAGAAGGTGGAAAGAATCTCACGAAGGACACTTCATCAAGATTACAAGCCTTTTTTTTTACAAGACGACAATAATGACTTTTCGTCGGGTTCTTTTCACCAAGTCGTCCTCTACAAAAAAAAACTTTCTCACCAAAATGGTTTTATTATATGCAGCATGACCCACAATTCGTACCAACACTCAGCCTCACCTTCCGTAACAACCGCACCTGCAGCATAAATAAGATTAATCAATATTGGGACTCAAGGAGGTGGTAATGCAAATACGTACACGAGATTTTGAAAGCAATTTCCAAGGGAAACATGCATCAAGAAATTGGCAATCTCACGCATCGTACAATTTCTTGGACCCTACCTTGTCGTGATAATAATGACACCACACCATATACAATACAACCACAAAAATCAGAAGAATGTACGAAATCAAAAAGCCACTCATTCCCCCCAAACGTACAAACGCAGAGACGTGTCGTGATTCATGGACAAGTTCCGCAAATGATAAAGCAAGGCCGCGTAACGCACCTCTTTTTTTGGAACAACATTCCAATCCAGTATAAAACCCAACTCAGGATTTCTTTCCACAGAAAAAAAGGGGGGGGATTTCTAAAAAACATTTCTCTTAAAAATCTCAGAAAAAAAGGCAGACCAAAAATAACCACGAACAGGATCTCCTCTTCATCTTCCACCCTTCAGCAAAAAATTCAAAACACCTTCAATGCCTCACTCTTCTTCTCAACCCATCTCAATCATAAAAACCGCAGCAACAACCAAACCCCAAACCGCTGAAGTTCAACCCATCCTTCAATAAATAAGATTCGACATTTTTGTTCTTACCCACATAACATATTCTGAAACTTTCATTTTCTTCCTCTTCAAAACCACTTCAAACCCTATAACCTCATAAACCAAACAGAATAGAGATTGTGAAGAAGAGAGGGTGAAGAACAAAAACGAAACCATATAGGTACAGATCCGCGAACCTGAAGTCGAAACTAAAACGGATTTGAGCGAGAAAAGAGAGACGGAGCCGATCGACGGGGAGGGGGAATACTCGTCGAAGGTTGTTTCGGTTCTTCCTTTTTGTGTTAGCAGCATGAGAAAGTGGGTCACTTGAGGCATATTTTATTATTCCATTTGTTTTCTTAAAAAGAATAAATTAGAAACATGTGATGATGTTGCTCAAAAACTGATGTTATTTTATTTTACTTGACCCGTGAGTGTGTGGTGTGATGGGCTAAGAAGCCCATCTAATGTTCATACTTAATACCCCATTCCATTGCGACACCTCTGTTTCAATTCTTTTTATTATGCTTTTTTATTCTTTATTTTTTTCTTTATTTTATCTTCATTAATTTTTCTTTCCTAAAAAATGTATTTATAAATAATGTATACACTTTATTTTTTGAATTGCATTTTATTTCCATTTTTTTTAATCTTCATTTCAATTTTTTAGGGTCGATGAAGAGACCTCAAAGTTGTACTTCGTCAAATTGTTGATGAATAACAACAAATCTGAGACCAATGTCTTTTTACCATTTTTATTTTTGATTTTTATTCATTTTTTATTCATTTTTATTCATTTTATTCTTTTTTATCGTTTTTGGTCAATGAATAAATTCCATAAGTTGTTATCGGTCAAATTATTGATAGATGACAATTTATCCGAGACCGTTTCATTTTCTATTTCATTTTTTTCTTTGTTTTCGATTTTATTTATTTTTTCGATCTATGATGTCTTTCGATTCGTAAACGCTGTTTTATCGAAGTCGAAAATCTTCTCGATTTCAAATCTATGGAAAATGACCATTTGAGTCATTTTCTTTACTTTGGAATCGTGATAGGTTACCTTTGATTAATCGACATAATGTTTACGATTAAAACGAGATCCCACTTTTCTTTTGTCTGTGCGACACAATTATATTAGAGAATGGTTCTCCATATC